TTTCACACCAGTTTTCCTGGCCAGTCCCGCAGTGGCGCCATGTCGCGTGTGTCGTGGAGGGAGAGCCGGTGAGGGGGGGGGGGCGTATTACTGCGGCGAGTCTCGCCACACTCTCAGGTACCCAATGGAGGTTTTTGTTTCTGGCTATAAACAAATCACAATCAATAGGTTATGATTTTAAACATTCATGGTGTTTAATTCAAGTTGCACACTTGCGTGGTCTGCACATTTTAAACGTTTTGTAAACGTTTCAATTCTGCACACTTGGACACACACAAATAAGGTTCTGACAACTAAATTTTCCGTACAAGAAGGGAGGGGAGGGCTGTGTCCGGACTCAGCAGGGCCGCTATGTGCATGGCTATGTGACCGTGGTCAGGCAGCCTTTCCTTCCTATCGTGACTTTCCTTTACATGACAAAACAACTAACGCGCCCCCCCCCCCGCTCCGTATATGTCCACAACGGCCGGCTGTCAAAAGTAGAAGGGAAAAAGGGGGGGGGGGCGACACGAATTCGGCTCGCGAAATGAGACCAGAATGAGACCGGCCGGGGCGCCACGGGGCGCGCAGGCGTTGCCGTTGTATGGCAGCAATAAATGCACGGCGAGCAGCGCAAGGCCTCTAGCCACGCCGCGCGCCGCGCCCCTTGGGGGAAATTCGCGACGGGGCAATCGTAAACCCTCCCACCATTCCCCTCCCCATTCCTCTTTTGCATGGAAATGGACGGCGCGTTAAGAACGTTTCATAAATGTTGCCCTTCAACCCCTTCGGCTGCCGCGACGTCGGCTTTTCGCGCCCGTTCTGTATACGCTCATGGGGATGAAAGAAATGGCGGGGGCAGATGGGTGGGGGTGGTGGGTCCATCCAGAACCATCTCCTGACCCTCGAGGGAGGGGGATCTGAATCTGCTCCATGCATTTGGACTGAAGCTAAAACACACTGGTCTGACTACAGTATTGTCGTGTTGTTGCATCACTCCAGAACTCCATTTTGCTGCCGGGATCAGCCAGTTGTTTCACGCCGCGTCCACCCATTTTCCTCGTAGCTGTCTGTGTGAGAGTGAGACCCAACCGCGGAGAAATAAGCGCGCATTTGGTCTGCCTGACAGCCGACCACTGCACACGGCACTCAACTTTTGTTTTTAAAACATATCAACGCGCCATACACTGACTTCTACAAAATAAGGCTAGAGGAAATGTGCATGGTTTGTGTATGAACCTTTCCTTTCTCGGGATGAAATCACTCAGAGAGCCGCATTCCTGGCTCAATACTCTTAGATGAATAAAGAGCATTTTGCACTAGATTTGAGAGGAATTTCTTTTGTACTGAGACAAAAACGTTTGATTCAAGTAGCAAATAAACTTGGACCAAAGTGCATTTGGTTCTTAAATTAAGCGTCCAACAGACGAATCAAGCGTTTTTGTCTCAGTACAAAAGAAATGGCTCTCAACACAAGTGCAAAGTGCTCTTTATTCTTTTAAGAGAATTTCGCTCTTGAACCAAGAATAAGGCTTTTTGAGTGTTCTCATGAACTTCTGCAAATGAGAGAAGTTGCCAAGTCGTGATGAAGAGGAAGACTTCCTTAACTTCTCTTGAACAACGTTCAAGCAGGTGTACAGAAGTACTCCAGTAATTCCAATTAAATGAAATAAAATTTCAGTAAGTAAAAACAAATGGGATACGTTTTAAAACATTCGCACACTGGAAAATGCTTGTAAAGAATGGATTCGAATTGCAAACAATTTTCTTTGCAGCTTGCCAAGAATTTTGAAGAATCGCAATACGAACTCGTTCTTAGCAATACAAAGCTCGAACATATTTGCAACGTTGCAATAAAGAACTTTGTCTCCAATCATTTTACAGTGCATGTTGACTATACGGCAAACCCAAGAGTGTTCTCAGTACACACATGTAAGTGTGTGCTTGCAAGCACACGGTTAAAAGAGTGAGAACTCTACGAAGAATTCATTGTAAAAAACAAACGTTGCCAGAACTCGCAACTGTTCTTCGTTGTTAAAAATTGATAACTTCAGAAATTATTACGATTGGTTCACAACTATTTCCAAGTAAGATAGCAAAACGCACTATTTTCGACTTCAAAAAAGTGTTGTGATTTCACAGTTGCTTCGTACCAACCCACCAAGCGCCTTCTCAGCGGGGCCGGGGCAGTCTTGGGGGCAGTATGGGCGTGGGGCAGGAGGGCCTAAGCCTCGGCCTCGGCGGGAGGAGAGCTGGAATTTTCTATGGTTTTCCACACGATGGTGACTTTCACACGCCCCCCCCCTAGGGTGGTCCAAAAAACAACTTTTGTTGATTTCTCTCGGGCCTCACTCGGATTAAGGTACTCCTAAAAAACACAAATCATATGCCGCAAACCCGAACCCGATCGGATCAAGGGAACCACTGCCTCACGGGCCGTTTATGTCGAGAGTGCAACTATTAAAATCAACTTAAATGACATCATTTTCCGACTCAGAATATGCGATTTTGGGGGGGTAGTTCCTCTTGCGTTTTTCGATTTGAAGCCTCCTTCTATGACTTTTCGAGGGTTTTAGATAATTTGGCCAAAAACGACTAAAATTCCCTCGGAGGGCCCTTGAGCGACATCCTTCTATCTGAGAAATTACCTACTTCGCCCGGGTACGTAAAAATGTCCGCTGAGTCCGAATCCGTCGTCGGATTTGACCGATTTTAGCATCTTATGGCCCTAAAAGCCCCCCCCAATGAACCTGGAATAGTGTAATCGCGACGGAAATGACCTCAACTTAACCCACAACTCTTATTGTACTTACTTCGGAGTTGTGAAAGTGACTCGTCATCGCACCGGCAGGCACAGATATTATAAACACTTTTAGAAAAAAATTCTGAAATTCACGAAGAATTCGTTGTGAAAATAGGTGCCAGATCCTTTGTGATTATGGGGTAAATTACAAATCTTCCTCGATGTCAGAAATGATTAACTTCAGGAAGTATTACGATTGGTGCCGATCAATTTTTAAGTGTGAAATAGCAAAATGCA